CGGCCGCCCGCGAGGCTGCGGTCCGGGGCCTGGCTCGGCGGAGCGGAGGGCTGCAGTGCCAGCTCGCCCCGGCCGGCGCGCTTATCTTGATAGGATCGCGCGTTGAGCAGGAGCGCGCGAGGGGGCCGAGGCGCGCTCCCCGCTGGCGTCCTTCTGGAGCAGGGGCGGGGGGGGGGGAGTGTAGGCCAGATCAGGGACACCGTTCTTCACACGTGCAGGAGGGATACACGAAGCTAGCGCCCACGCGGGCGGGCCGCTCAGACGCCTGGGCAGTCCGTGCAGGGGGAGGCAGGCTGGCCCACGGGGTCCGCCCTCTTCCCACTAGGACAGGGCCCTTCTACCCTGCCTTTGTTCCTCCAGCCTGCAAACCAAGCTGGCTCTAGTGGACCTCCAGTTTACCCCATAACAACAACCCTGTGAGGTAGGCTGGGCCGAGAGGCCAAAGTTGGCCCAAAGCCATGCAGGGACCTCAGGGCTGAGTGGGGACTGGATCCTGGCCCTCCCAGCTCTCCAGTCCCACACTCCCCCTCATGCCTTCCACACCGGCCTTCACTCCAGCAGAACATGGGTGGGGGGCACCTTCCAGGGGGCATCTCTGGGGCAGCTGATCCAGGATGCAGCTGGCTAAGACGGGCTTGCTGCCCCACTGGGGGTCCAGGGCAGCCCTGGGATCCCCAGCCAGGACTGGCAAGGCACCAGCATGAAACCCGAGAGAGCCACCGCTGCCTGCCAGTGTCACCAGCCCGGCCGGGATGGCCCAAGCAGACCAGATGGCCCTCAGGCCAGGGCACCTCGGAGAGCTGTTGGCAGGCCGAAATAAATATTCTGCAGCCAAGGACAGACTATCCGAACGGAGCTCAGGAGCCACCGGGGTGGGAGAGCCGCTGCCATGCAACGCACCGCAGGTGGGGTGCCACAGAGGGCAGATGGAGGACTGGAACCCAGGACTGTGGGTCTGAAGCAGGTGGGAGCAGCTTGGCTTTTAGACAAGGACAGCAATGGAATGGGGGGGGGGGGGGAATGCCTCTGCCTGCGTCCAGCAGAGCACATTGGGGTGCAGCATCCCCAGAATGCACTGCTGCCGGGGCCATCCTCTCCCCTTTCCGGGGCAAGGCCAATATGGCAGAGGCGGCCCCCGCAATCCCAGCTCAGCCCGAACACAGGCTGCCAGGACCGCCGTAGTCCCTGGGGCTGCTTCCTCGCCAGCCAGCGAGGGAGGAATATTTTTGTAACTGCTGCAGCCCCGAAGGATCAGGTTTTGGCACGTCATTACATTTCTAATGGGAACAGCACATGTGGGAACCAAATGCAGAATGATGCTGGCCGAGGCAAAGGGTAGGTTTGGAGAATCTAAAAGCGGGGAGGTATAAAAATATTTGGTTTTGAGCCGGCCACATCTACGCCTGCCCCGCACCCAGTGCCCAAACGGTTGGCAGTTCACACAAGAAGACTTTCGTAATGATTCAGCTTTGCTTGCGAGCCCTGTGGTGAGGCGTGCAGGGTTTCCCAAAGGATTGATAGTTGAAGAATGGATTTTTCCCCCTTTTCAGAATGACACGCTGCATGTAGGACAGCGATTTGTAAAAAGGCTTATACTAAGATTAGGAAAGGTTTAGACTAAGATTGTCCATCCTCAGATGGGCTGATCAGTTCACTCATTCTGTATGAGGGCCCCGGTGGATCAAAAAGGAATAAGTCCAGAATGTCAACTCACTCAGAGATGCAACGGGCAGACTCTTCTGGGAGTGGGTGGTCCTGTTGCATCCCTGCATGAGAAGCAATGCGATACTCTAACCATTGCCAGATTGTTGGACTGCAGTAGTGATTGACTGGAAGCAGACATGAGCACATCCTGTTTTCCGTAGAGGGTCAGCTGAGCCCATTCAATAACCAATACTATGATCATTCCAGCAAATCAAGGATTTCCCTTCCAAAGATGCAAATAAGTTAATTCCACCCATCTGATGGTTTAAGCAGGAGCACAAGAGAAAAGCAGTATTTCCCTCCGTCCAACAGCAGGACCAACATAACCTCTCACAATACTCCAATAAATCCAGTGCAAGATACACCAGAGAAAGAGCATCGGTCCTCCTATTAGGGCTGCCTGTTTAAAGCCCTAAGCAGGCCTAAGACTTTTTGAAGTCTGTGGTGGAGGATCCAAATGCCCCCCAACCCGTTGTATAAATAAAGACCGTCAGTCACAAGCCTCTGGGAAGTTCGCTGCACACACCCTGTTGGAAGGAACAGGCTGGTGTCTGGCCATTTTGGGTGAGTTACCCAGGAGAACCTCCTGTGGCAGCAGCCAGTTCGGGTCTGCTCTAGCCCCATTTCTGGTGCCTGAAATTCAGCAACCGGAACCATGGGGTCCTTATGTTAACACTTGGCTGCAAGGCTGCCCTTGCCTAGGAGAGATTTTGCAGGGGGGGGGCTTGGAGTGCGCAAGGACTTCCTCCGCAACGCCGAGACTGGTTGCCAGCTTGGGCGAAGTGAACACCCACGAAGCGGGCAGCGGGGGGCATGGCATCCGAGCGCCTTCATTCCGACCGGGCTCTTCTCTTCCTCAGGGACCCCGATCGGGGAACTCGGGGCACAAGCTGCTGCTGCTGAGAAGTGGGTGACGGGGCGGGCATGGCCTCGTTTGTCACGGGGAAGCTGCAGAAGGCAAAGAGAGAAACGTGGAGCTGCCCAGCCCAGCCCTTCCCTGCACCTGCCCCAGGTTCATTCCTTTATTTATTTAGCAGGCCCAGAGCTTGCTTTTCAAGAAGTGAGCTCAGCACACACACCAATGAAAGCAAAATACCACCAGGACAACTGCAGTGGTAAGATTGCAACTGTACACATGGTTCCAGAGCGACTTTGCCGCTTGCACTGTGGAGGGAGAAGCATCACAAACCTGCCTCTCTCCCACCACTTCAAGACATGCAGATTCCCTAGGCTCCTGGAAGCGATTTTGGGGAACATGAGCACATAAGCAGAGTCCAGAGGACCCCACAGGCAGGATAGGACTCAGGATAACCCCCCTCCCCGAGTTCCCAGCAAATGGTACCCCTCGGCAGATAGCTGCCTTTGTTCCTTCTTACAAGAAAGCTCGGCTGGCTCACGAGGTTCTCCTCTCCATTTTATCCTCCACACAGCAACCCTGTGAAGTAGGCTAGGCTAAGTGTGAGCGCCTGGTCCCAAGTCACTCGGGGAGCTTCAGAACCGAGTGGGTCTTGAACCCGGATCTCGCAGGTCCCCAGTCTAGCATTCTCGCCACTGCACCAGCCTAGCTAGCCCGTGGCCACCAGCGCTTCCTCTGGGGATCAGTCCAGTCCCCTCTGAAGGCCATCCAGACTGTCTTGCTAGAAGGTGACTTTGTTTTGGGTCTCCAGAGGAGTTGCTCATGCCAGTCCCTTCAAGGGCTACAGAGGTTTAGTTAATTGAAAACTTGGAAGGGGGGTGGTGCTGGTCCAGAGCTAGCCCTGTGCAATGGCGAGGGGTTCGAGTTGGAAGTGGGGTGCCCTGCTCAGCCATGGAATCGAGTCTACCTCATAGGATAAAAATGGGGGTGGGGGAGTGAGACACCCCATGTTTGCTGCTCTGCCCTCCTGGTTTAAAAAAATGGGTTACAAATTTAATTTAAATGGGTTAAAAATTTAATAACATGGCTGGCTGGCTGGACAGCCGAACAAGGGTGCTGTGCTCACACCCAGGAGGCTATGCATAGATAAAGACTGGAAGGGAGAAAGCAAGTCAGTCGGTTCTGCTTTGCTTTACAGAGCGTGTCTCAGGAGCCCAAGCCGTGCATGGGACGGCTGCAGGTGTGTCACCGGGTGCCATGTAGCGCACGGAGCAGGACAGAATCCAGCCAAATGAGTCAGGTTCAGGCACTGTGTAGGTGTAACCCACTTTGGAATAATGAGGCGCTGGGGATGAATCAGCAGCCTAGCGAGTTCAATGGCACAGAAGAAACACAGCGGCGAAGAGGGGCAGCTGCTGTCTCCAGGCATCCCCGGGAATGGCAGAGAAGAGGCGGCTCCGGCTGGGAGCGTCTGCCTGGCTGTGCCTCTTAATATTGTTTCATACAAATGAGGTGCCTGAGAGAGGCCCAGGGAGATGGAGATTTTGCCTCCCATCTGCACCCATCTTTGAGCGTTACCAGTTTTGAACAGCAGCCTGCCACATTGCTGTATGAAGGCTGGCCTGGGTGGGCCTGGCAAAGGCCAGGAGGTGCAGGTGAGACACAGGCCGGCGAAGTTCAGCTGAAGACCCTCGGTGGTACATGGCCGGTGTCGGGCTCCTGAGCACAGCCATCCCTGGGCTTGTGATTCTGGCAGGAGTCCCTGGAATGGCCAGGTGCAAAACAGGTGACAGCAAGTCCTCACGTGCAGAAAAGGGCATCTCAGCAGGT